ATTAAATATGTAATTGAACAATAATAATCTGCATTATTTAGTCCAAAGCATAAGGAAGAACTATTTTGTATAAGCGATTATAATGAAAAATGTTCATCAGTTCATTTGCTCAAAATTTAAATTGATATGTGATTAATCCAGTTTCTGAAACTATTCTCTAGTTTATTAATATTTGAAGACTTAATTATAAAAATGAGATAAGTAACATATATTGAGATTTATTGGGGTTTGTGATGTGTAAAATCGGCACAGATTAAATTTACTTTATAAATGCATTTCTGCAGAAAATTATCACATTCAAATGAAATAAAAATTTGGTTTTGGGAGGTTTACTATTAAAATCATGTATTGATCATATGATTTACTATGTTCATAAATAGATTTTAATATCAAATGAAGAAAATATAAAATTAAAATTAAAATAAGAAAGTCTTACTATAGCAGATCCGCTAATATAGCCTGTAAAAAAATCAATAAATATATAAACTTTAATACAATAGCACAATCGAAAAAGAAAATTAACTAATTACAAAAAATAATAAAAATTGTATCATACCAAATCCTGACCTGAAAAAAAATATTCAAAAGTTTTATCTTAATTAGCGTTCAAAATTAAGAAAAAATACAGTACGTAAATATAAAAAAAAAAGGGAAGATCATTACAAACAAAAAAAAGAACAAAGAAAAAAAATTATTCTTTATTGATCATTCATGAAAATATATGAATTATCCAATTTGCTATGAAATCATAAAAAACAAAGTAAATTGAAGAATACATGCCAAATATAAAAAAGAGTTTTCCAGCTTTAATTTTGCTTTCACAACTTAAAGTAAAAATCTATCTAGAACAAAATGCTGCATAAATATAAAAATAAAATAGCTCAGCTATAAATAATTTAAATAAATTCTATTTTAATTCTATTTTAACGTATAAAAATAATATAAAATTATAATTAAAATTAATAATAAGCTAAATTACATCTGTTAAAAAGTTTTGACCGACCGCTGACCACCCATTACCATTTTTAGTAAGCACTTTCTCGTTTTTCCTTTATAGGACGATGACGATGTTGGCGAAGTGTTCTAAAAGTAAGATGGTACTTACTTTTTTGCTTTTCCGCTGGGCTACATTACGGACTTCTTGAGACAATTTTTTCATCGTCAAGAATTGAACATAATTTTTTATAAAAGGCATAATGAGCATCCATTTTATCAACCTGCTCATAATTATTAACTAATAAAGATATATAATTATTTAGAGACCACTTTTCATACGGAACAAATCAAAATATACTGAATATGGAATGTTCTCGAGTGGGCACGAACGGTGGTGCAAGTAACAGACATTTTAAAAGTTTTAAAAAAAAATTTTTAAAAATCAAATAAAAAAAATCTGTAAAAATTTAAAATAAAAAATTTGTAAAAATTTCAAAAGAAGTTAAAATTTGTAAGGTTCAAATTTACCTTTCGATATTTTTATCGATCAAGAATAGACGCGCAAACTTGTTGCTGAGTCACAAATTTAATGTTTTTTACTGTATTTTTCAATTTTTCATAATTTGATATACAGTACTTCAGTAAGAGGAGTTGCTAAAGGACACGTTCCCAACCTTCAAAATTAAAGACTATTTGACACTTACAAATTGAAGCCCCAAGCCTGGCAACAGTGACCAAGTGTAAACGAGATGGTTGGTAAGTATGGAATGAAGAAGGACATAGGTTTAATAAAAAAAAAATATCATATATCATGAGAATTTTTTTTGGTTTAAACATTTCTTGACTATGTAATAGTAATTGTAGTGATTTTAGTTCACAGAAATTTCGTATTACGAAATTCTTAATTATTATTAATTTTTTTTATTTATTTCGTTTGATTTAATTGAATCTACAGCATTAAAATATATTATTTTACTTGAAATATAAAAACTATTCAATTAACATGTAACTGAAAAGCTGGAATTTTGAAATGAATTATATAACTTGAGGTGAATAAAAAAGAAATTATTTATTTATTTATCGATTTTTCGCATCGGGTTGGATTTTTGAGAAATTAATGAAATCGTGATAAAACAGAAACGTGATTATGTAGTAATCGTCTAATAAATTCGCAAGATGAACCCATTTTATTTTGGTTATCTTTTTCATTTTTTATTAGACTCGGTCTGAGATTCCTATTTAATTTTCTTTTAATTGACGGACTTTACTTGAGGTAATTTTGTGTTTACGTGGTGGTAGCTTTTATGTTGAATTAATTATTTTCATTTTCTTGCTTCGATTTATGATTCCTTTATTTTTGGTTTAATTTTTATTTATTTTTATTTGTTTATTATTAACATCGATTTATTCAATTTTTATATTTATTTTCATTGAATATTTATTCTTGATTTTACTTTTGTTAGATTATGTCATTTATAACTCTTTTTCGTCAGCTATCTCTATCTCAATTATGCTGTGAATAATTAATTATTTAACGATATTTTTTTAAAGAAGAAAATATGTTTCCAAGATATGAGGTTTCTACTTCTCGAATAATTTACAAATGTATAACGATCTGACTACTTTAATCATAAAATGTTACCATACAAAATTTTAGGATCTTGAATTGATAAAGTATTAATATATTTTTTTTTTTTTTTACTGATTTTAATTTAATCTGAATTCAAATTACAATACAAAAAAAAAAAAAAAAAAAATAAGCATGTACCAAAATTTTATTTTTTTATATAGCATTTTATTAACCACGCTTTCCGTGACTAATGAATGATATTTCAAAAAATCTACTACCTTCGATATATTTCCTCCTCCTGTTACAAAGGTTCAACTCAGCACCTCTAATCATGTAACTAAACTTATCTCTAAGCTAGGTGTTTAGTATTTGGACAGGAAATTTCATTAAATGATTATGGGCCCACTTGGAAAAGTCCTGTCAAATATGATTAATATAAATTGCACATTCTTTTTATTAGTTGTTAAATAAGACCCATAATTATGTAATTAATCATTTAAACTTACAGATTGAAGCTTCATACATTACGACAGACACAACCATTTGTAAGACTCTACACCTGACTGTGACCGAAAGTATCTCATCAGGATACTAATGGCGTGCCAACGTTTGAATATTGCAGGAAATTCTACTAAACGATAATGAGTATTATGTGTCCAACCGGATTGATCCTGTCACATATGATGAGTTAAAAAATAATATTTTTAAAAAAAAATAAAATCTTTAAAATGAATTAAAAAAAAATAGAAAAAAAAAATACATTTAATAAGGATAAAGTTTCGTGAGAGATATTTTGTTTCATTATTTACATTTTTTTTAATATAAAATACTTCTCTGGGCCATTTGAACATTTTGATTTAGTTTAAATTTCAGCTAATAACAAATATTATAAAAAAGTCTTAGTATATTAAAACAATTGACTGACTCCGCATTTACTTCTAAAGTGTATTTAAGAATATACCAAGTTACTTTTTAAGAGGAAAAAATATAGAAAAACTTTCACGTGTGAATATTTTTTTCTCATGTCCCTTATGATAAGATTTATTAGAATTATCTCGTGTAACATAAAATTTTCACCTTTTCATTAGAAATATATTTCGTAAGTATAAAATTTAATAAAAATTTTCAAAAAAATATGACTAAACGAGTAACCAATAAACTATATTACTACTCTAGAAATTGCCAAGCGGTTACTCACTGCTTGCTTCTTCAGCAACAAGCAACGCTAACTGTATAAATTAATTATCAAATATAATAAATAAATCGACTTTACGTAGAAAAAAAATTTATTTTTTTCCTAAAATTTTCAAAAAAAATGTCTAAGCGAGGAAAACAAAAGAATTACAACGCTAGAAGTCCAAGTGGCTACTCGCTTTCGCCAACAACAACAACAGCACCAACTATAGATTGGAACCGGTTAAAGAAAACCTTAACTGATTCCAACTTCTTACTCAACGAAAACGATAGTTACAACCAACAAGCAACAGTAACACTACTAGCAACCTCCGGCATATGAGCCCTCGCTGACTTAAATAAAATATGCATATTGAAATGACGAAAGAATAATTGACGAGTTACATTCAGAACGAAGACAACTAGAAATTTTGATCCCGAGTAAGAAGAATTGTTATTACTTTATATGTTTTATTCTTATAATTTATTTTAGGAAAATAATATATTAAGTAGAAGATACTTTAACCGGTTCCAACATCTAACTCTAATAACACCAACAACCAGCTTATGATCCTTTGTGAGATTACCATTTATTTCATGCTGGTGTGAATACCGTGTTTTTTTTTTCCGAACGCCCGAAGGGGGAAAAAAAAAATCCTAAAAACATAATATTTCAACTCCCATGAAATAAATAATACAAAACCTCTATATGAATATTTCCATTTTGGTAACCGTATTACTATCCCTGCAATTATTTTAGGAATATTCTTCATGTTAATCTTGAATTTTTCTAATTTAATAAATTATTCGCTTATTTTCCGCTCCGCTAAAGATTTAAATAATGATCAACTTTTTAAATCATTTCTACACATCCTGAATTTTTTTGGTATGGTATATCCATTGTTGACTTAAAATATAAAATTCCCTGACGAAAATTTCTTGTATCCCTACCAATCAAAAAAGAAGTGAATCGTTGTTTAATTCCTTATGATGCATCTAAAAAGATCGGTCCAAGACATTCTTGAGATAATATTTCGTATAGCAAGAAATATCGGAATTCTTAGAATTAGATGAAACGATTAGAGCTCCTTATAAATGGATGTTTTGCAAATATATTATTGATATATTAATGCCTTTATTCATGAATAATTTTTTTCGTCATGGTAATTTGTTAAATACAAGACAACTCCTCACACGCGATCGGTTTTTAGATGCTAATATCGTTTATTTAGTTGCATGAATACCTGATTCACAGTTAGAAAATAATAATCATGATTTTGCTAATAATAATATTATTATTTGTAAAGTCTGCAGTTTGTTGTTAAATGTTAAGTACTTCAGAAATTCTGAATGAATTATTTTTTCCAGCCATTACAAGATACACTCTTCCCAAAGAAGCCTTATTACTTTGTGAAAGTGCTACTTGCAACCTAGATAAAATATTATTAATTGTCTGATGTGCTTGATGATCAGGAGTATCGACAACAGAAAAAATAAAATTCGATGGAGGTTGAACATTGGCTGGAAAAGGAGAACAATCTGAAACTCCACGAATAACTGGTTAAAATATAATACGATATTATTAATAAAACGGACAAAAGGAAAGGTTATAATCGTTGCAAAAAATCATTTCTAGACATACGACTCAGTATTGCAGCTTTCGGGATGTTTCTTTGTCGAAGTCCTGCTTCATCCCACTCAATGATGAGTAGAATATCCCTGAAATAATTCTCGGAATTATACTTCTCTTGAACAATTTTTGCCCACTCGAAAATAATTTCTTTTGTATCATTAGTAAAATTGCCTAGGTTGGTCGACATTTTATGATTAAAGTTTTGACGTAAAAGCCAAATTGTAATAAGGAGGATAATGAAAATAATGATAGGAGTCGAAAAGTATAAGTATATGATACAAAGCATGAAAGTCAAGTAAAAGATAGTATTCATTTTTTACGGTTAGAGGAAAAGAGGAAAAAAAAAGTTTTTGATTCGATCTACATCAAAAATTTATATCCATTTTTATTTAAAGGATCTTTCATCAAATAATGATGAATCCTGATTGGATATAGCTTTGTCATTTTTAATGTAAAAAAATTTAGCTTTTATGCTATAATCGTGTTTGCTACAATACATGTAAGATTCTGGCCATTTTTTTTTTTTTTTAAAGGCACCTTTATAATTATTAATTAAATATCAACGGTGAACAAGCTACTATGCGTTTTATATAAATTAATAATTTTCAAATTAATAATCCTTATTTTAATCATTTTAAAGTAAAGCCTAAAAACAAAATTTATAATACATCTGCGTGACTTTATAAGATTAAAATCAAAAAAAAAATTGAGGCCAATGAATACTAGGTTATTATCGATATTTCAAAGTTAATAATTAATCATTAAAATAAATATTCTAACTAAATCCGAATCAAGTATCATTATCTCCTTGTACCATTTCTAAATTTCTATTGTTGTTGATATTACGAATAGGTAAGATTTGGTTTGTATGTAGCATAGAAATTGTTATTTGATATAAACGTCCTATGACATTAATTGTAAGGTTTAATGTCGTGGAGGTTAAAGTCAACATGGGAATAATATCGTCTTCATATGTGAGCGTTTTGCTTGCCCTTTGTCTATACAAGATCTAAAAAAAAAAAAAAAAATTAACATAAATTTAATGTAAATTACATTATTAATAATTGCATCATTATAATTTAAAAATTTATAAAATGCCTGTATAATTAATTGAGGTATATCTTCAGCAATGATATTTAAGCAAGAGATCCAAAATATTTTTGTTTTAGCTGAATTGGAAAAGGGAGCCTGAAAAAATTTCAGACCCGCTATATTTGATTGCAATATGTTTAATACTTCAACATCAGCTCCTGACAATATGGTGAAAATACTTGCAACTTTTCGATTATCCGTAAACCATCGATTAAATTCTGGACTAGCATTTTCTTTTGTTATAATAAGAAAGGCCGATATCGTATTTAATCCTATTGGGATGGTAATAAATATTAAACTGAATAATAAAAAAAAAAAAAGTTAATGAATAACCAAGATTAATTGTAACAAATAATAAAGACGCATTTTGTAATGCACCTTGGAGTTTTAAGCTCTGGAAAATTGTCGGCGTTATATGTTACAAAGAGAACGTCCATAACCAGGTCTAAGATAAATAGACCGAGTTGAAAAATGGCAAATTTATTACCCTATGGATTTCGAATGTAAATGTTTAATTCGGAAGCAAGAAAAAAAGAAAGATGTAGATAATTATTTAAATTATAGTTACCTTTTTTTCTTTTATATAGGCAAGCGTTGAAAGAACAAGCAATAATATGATGGCCAAAATCATAGCTATGAATTTCCATTTATATTCTTGCCATAGATTCCCTAAATAAATTAGAATTGATTTCAGTTTTTAAACGAATCATTATTTTAATAAACATTCCAAATCAAATCAAACAAAAATAAAAAACATACGTGCAGGTATGAAACCATAAGTTTGCTCTATGGCTTTGGTAAATTGACCTTGTCCAATATGAGTTCGAAATTTATGTGTAATAGTAAAATTAAGTTCATTTATTATAGAAACGACATCCTTTTCATCTTTTTCTTTATTTTCTTCAATTCTTATAGAAATTATTTGTTGTTCATTTGTAACAACTTGAGCAACCTTATCTATTTTCAAACGATCTTGCGATATTAGACATGTATCGGCCAATTCAACTAACAAATTATTTAAAAATTGTTCTCGTTCACTTTCTGATAAGTTTGTAAATCTTTTTGTTCCTCTTGTGGTTAATCTAAGCAAACCCGTTGTTGATGTCGTGATGTCATACTCTTTCTTTATCTTTTCAACATTAAAATGCCAAACGTTTTCATGAATGCCTAATAAAGGTTCTTTATAAGCATAAGATATAACGAAATTTGTATCCATTTCTATAAAATAAATCCCTTCATCAAAGGTAGTGTTAAATATCTCTACAATAACACTTTTATCATCAGTTAATGAACAGTTTCGTCCAAGAGTTATTTGGCGTAATATTTTTTCCTCATTAGATAATTGATATATCAACAATCTTCCATCCGATAATTCTACCGGATCATAAAAATCAATTACGACATTCGGTATATCTGAATTTACTGAAGCATTAATTTCCGGGAATGTCGACCGCACGTTTACATTATAATATCCATTATCTTTACCGGCAGAAAGTTTAGGCAAATCAACACATGTTAATGCCCAAGTATTGTTGGATTCCGTTTTAGGGATCAGGAGAGTATTGTTAAGTAATATAATTGCTGAAGGGTTTTCATTTGCTGACTTTGATTCCATGAAAGTGCTACTTTTTGTACCATTTTCGTCGAGTATGTGATATATAATATCATCCGAACGTTCATTTGCATTCGTGAGAATATAACCACCGAATGGTAAAAACATGACGTCCCAATTCTGAGTTGCATTAACTTCTGAGGAACGTTTGATTGTCGTGAGTGAAGGGATTGAACCAGAAGATAGGAAATTTATCTTAACGTCAAATAAATTTTCTAAATTTGATCCAGAAGGGTCTTGTTGATTTATCGTTAAAATACATTGATATCCGGTCCTTATGTAATAAATATCGCAAAAAAGGGAGTTCAATGTTAGGTTTGGCAATTGATTCTGATAAAGTAACAAAGAAGCGTGCGCCATTTTATGATCACTTATGAAAATGACGAATAATTCCAATCGAGGCGACAATGGGACCGTTGCTGCTGTTGTATTTGCAAAGACGATAGCATAACCTTCGTATGTAGTAATAATATCATACAATAAGTTTGAAAAGTTCTCGGATTCAATTATTCCATCAGTTAATCCAGTAATTATTCCGTTAAGTCCAACCTTAAATTGTTTCCATCCCGTATTTCTTGATCCTTTAATGACGGCAATTCTGAGGAACCCATCTCTCTTATTATTTATTAGTATTTCCCTACTTGGTTTAAGTTCTGAAAGAGCCTTGAAATTATATTTTACATTTTCTTCAACATATTTGAATCCAAGTGATATTTTACTTTTAACGTTACCATCGAAATCAATGATCATTCCCCATTCTTCATATGTGTTTTCATCGTTAGGATCTGTTGCATTATGATAAGTGACTAAAATTTGATCATTAATAATCAAATAAAAATCCAAATATTCGGCATTACCCCTTTTACAATAATTAAATGATTGAATTTTTAAATTGATATCCAACTCATCGACTGTGCCATTAGGATGAATGATTCTCAAGGAAAGCATTTCTAAAAAACAGATCCCATCAGTTAAGGCATGATTTCTTCTGGCGACCCTCAATACAATCATACCATCTTCGTACACGCTTTGTTTCCAAATGAGAGGTTGTGATTCTGGTCCATAACCGAATTTTTCGTGATATGAAAATGTTCTCGTTTGTGCTACCGTGCATATTGGATAAGAACACAAAATCGTTATTATGAAAAGTAGCAATACACCGATGAAACGGTTTTGCGAATTTGAAGAACGCAATTCACTCATTTTTTTTTTTTTTTTTTTTGGGACAAAAAATGTGGCCGTGGACCCCAAGATATATGGGCTCATAATGTCAAAAACGCTTTTGAAAATTTTTGGTCTAGTCGCGGAATATAATGGATCCGACCATTGTGTTACACTATGATGTTACACATTATTGTGCTATATATGGTCATAAAGAAAAATTTGATCGTAATAAAATTACATAATTGTTTACGGTTTATTTTTAGAAAAATCTGTCATATTTCATTTTGTACGACCATTAACGTTAAAACTAGTTTATATTGCCGATCTTTTTTTTCAAAAAAAACTTAAAAAAGTAAATTATTATATGTCGCCTAATATAAATCAAAAAAAAAAAAAAAAAAATTGACGGAGGGTCTCGGAGGTCCATATGTCGACCCATAATTCCTATATATTTAAATCCATACCGGTATTGAATATTTGTATATATTAGTTAGAATTAATTAAATTAATTTATACATTATATTATAAAATGTGTAAAATCAGATGTAAAGAGTAACTTTAATTTATTATGCAATATAAAGTAAAAATTAATTAAATTTTTTCATTTATTAAAAATAGAAGTAATTAATTGATCGAATTAAAAAATTTAAAAGCTTTATTATTCGGCTAATTCCTTTTTAATAGATAAAATTTGGACTGACTGGTTTAATTTGATGATGCAAAGTTATTTTGTATAATTTTCCAAATTCTGGTAAAATGAAATGAAATAGCTGCGACGAAATTTAGAAAATCCATACATATATGGCAAGCCACCATACATGGTTTAATAACACAATTAATATTTACAAGTAACAATCGAAAGAAATTTCGTAACGCTTAACTTACATTATTTAATTCGTTTTATTGTAAATATGGGACCTTTGCAATAGAAAGAGGGAAACTGCCGGAAAAATCAATATGCCAAATATGATTTTTAGGTCAAAATATGTTCAGATTCAGCATTAACCATTTTTTTTTTTCCAGCCGTTTCTAAATTTCAAATTGAAAGGTTCCATATATAAATCAAAAGTTGTAAAATTTACAATTTAAATTATAAAAAAGGTTAAAATAAATTAACGCAATTCTTAAAAAAAAAAAAAAAATAAGAAACAAAATAAGTTGCATCGCATAATATATAATTATGAAGAATTATAAATAAGTTAATAGATTTTGAATGTAGATATCGCCTAGGCGGTCGATTATTATTGTGAAGTACTTTCGAAGCTTTATAACCTTTAACTTATGGGAGGTTTGCTAATAAAATCACGTTACGGGTCTCGATTTTAATAACCAACCTCCCATTTCTTTTTAAAAACCAGTGGATTTTTAAAAGACGTTTTTGATTCCTAAAACTGCACTACGTTTGATTTCTCGAAATAAAAAAAATATGGAAGGTAATGCCAAATTTGGAGATTACTGTACATAGAGAAGGGTAGCTTACATAAAATTTTTACTATCAAAATATAAATAAAATGAACAAAACGAAAACAAAAATTAAAATTAAAATTTGATTATTATATGTCAGTAGCACGATACAAGTACTTTTTCTATGTCCCAATAATTTTGAGAATTCCTCACATTAAGTCCCAATGTCCATCATTGCCCAGGATCTTCAATCGGAAGTTATGTGACATCCCGAGCCTCCTCAATATTACCATCAAATTTTTCATCCCTTATAATTGTCACCCAGTTTGATTGGAATTTTCTCTTTGTTTATACAATCACGTGAAGAAATATTCTGTATTGAAACGTCATCATGTATCGCAGGTTTAGTCCCAAATTAAATTCGTGATGCGGTCTTCTTTCACCAAAGATTGATTACAACTTCAATCCTTAGAACCCACATGCAACTTATATAAAAAGGTGATATTTGGTTAGTAAACACTTTTATCCGCATTGTGCAAGTTAGAACGAAAAGCTTCAAACTGATTAACTAAACGAACAAATATATTTCCAAATAATGAAAAAGGTAATGTTGGTAACACTTCAGTTTAAGATTTCGTCATGATTCTAACCATTATTAATGGAATTATAGATGTTCAAAGTCAAAGCAGACATATTATCATTCTTGATCCTTTCTGTATTCGACGAGATCGTGATTGTGATCGCCAGCACGCACGTGTCTCATCAAAGCACACTCGTATTAAGCAATAAATTTCTTGAGTATGAGGCGGATTGGAATGATGTGAAAATGAATCGTTTTGGTAAATGTAATTTGTAAATATTGCATTGTTTATTATTATTTATTATTTGTTTTTAACTCAGTTTCTAATCTCCCGAGATTGTGCAGTAGATATTTAAGAATATAATGTAGAAGTTAATTATCTTAATATACTATTTTAATAGTCCTTTTTCAGCTTAAAATATATTATCAATTTAGTCAGGACGGTTTTCATATTAATTTCCTATTACCAAAGATTTTGTGATAATTATGGAATAATTTATTCCATTTATACTGTTACTCAAGAATTTATAATATCGTTTAAATGAAATTTTAATTTTCCATAAAAATTCATGTAAATAAGATTATCCACCTTGAGTTTCATAATGGTATACTAATTATTTTAAATATTTGTGATCATTTTAGAATGCCTTTTTTTTTTAAAAAAAAAAAAAAAAGGAAAATTATCTATAGAGAAGAAGTAACTGAAAGATTTACTGTAAAATTGGATTTTTCGAATATCTTTGCAGAACCTTGAATGTAATAAGAGAAGAAAGGCACATTTACCAAGAAGTGTTAAAATTCTTCAAATCACCACTTAATGGAAGTAACAAACAGTCGCAAATTTTTGTTTTTTTTCATACCATATTAATGAATGATCGGTGTAACTGTGAAAATTTTTTTTAATCTCCTTATTGAGTAGTTGTGTGACTTAAGTATTACGTCAATAATGTGATTAACGCAGATCTCTTTTTGGAAATTTAAAAATGTATAAGAGCCGTTAATTTCGCTCTGATCATTTATTCTTTGATAAACTTGAACAATGGATAAAAACAAAGGAAATTCTAATTTTGATTTTAGAACCTAAAGAAGCGAAACCAAAAGTAACAAATAATTCTGGAAAATCTTCAAGAAATCAAGTCGGTTCTATGTCACACAATAAAAAAAAATTTTTGCTTTCTGGTTTGAAGTTCATGGAATCTGAAAGTGAACCTGAAGGTTCAATAGAAATCATATTTCATGTGCATTTGCCAAAGATTCGCTACGGGGAACCTGTCATAGCTGGTAGTATAGAGGAACTTGGTAATTGGCGTGAACCTAAAGTTAAACTTAAACAATACAATAATCGTGTTTGGAAACATACATCTTATTGGTATTCAGAGCCCATTCGTATCCCGATCAATAGATATAAGTACGCAGTATATTTATATAACTTTAAATTTGAAGGATTTGGTCAGGAGGACGATCGTGTGTTAGATATTCGAAGTAATAATACATTTGATATTTGGAAAAGAAATTCAACTTATAATATTAACCAAATCACTGATTATATGTTCTTGGATGTCATTTATGAATCCGTAACGTTAGAAAACATCAAGGATATTACTTTAGACTATTCTAGTATCCTAGAACAGCATCACGAATTAACTTTGTCCGTAACGAATATTCAGTTTATTAGCAATCGCGTATCAGATGCTTCTATTGGTAAACTTCTTTTCTTATGCTTTCTTTTAGGACATTGTCCTAATACTTATGGAAGTTTTGAATTACCAAGAGAGTTTCAATCTATTCCCTTGCTACAAGCTTTCTTCACGGTTCATTCGGACACATTTCCAACTTCTTGTTGGCAGTTTGTGTTTAAAGGAGTTGAACATTTAATTCATCACAATATTATTAATGGATTATCCGAATGGCTCAATATCTTCACCATTGCACGAGATATCGATCCTCAATATAAGTTCATCGACACAATAACTTTTGCTAAATGTAATGATGACAAATATATCAAAGATTATTTTGAAATCATACAGAAGCATGAATTTGATGAAAATATTCATATGAAAATCATCAAGGTATTTCAATTTCACGTCTTTGGCTGAATGTTATTAATAGTCAATCATTCAATTAATTTTTTTTTTTTTAAAAAAAAACTAATTTTAGTGGTTAATGAGTCAATGCAAAAACTTGAAAACCTTAGCAATCGTTTGGCGATCTTCAGATAAAATTGACAAGCAATGTCTGATGAGAAATATTGAGAAAATTATGTCTGAAGATGACCCTGTTGATTTTACCGAGCTTCCTGATGACATTAGAGATATAGTCACTAGGAAAAGAGTAAGTTTGTTAAATGGTCGTCGTGCTATTTGGGATGTTTCCAATTCCCAATCGATCTTTGATCTTTTAAATTCTGTACGATTACGCTGGACAAAGGATGAATATATAGTTGTATTGGAAAAAGTGTCTACTTTAGAAGATTATCAGCTATTAAGCGTATTTCCATCATTACTTAAAAATTGGATTGAAATGTCTAATGTAATTGATGATAAAATGGCTCAATTATGTACTAAATGGTACAAGAAGCTTATGGATATAATGGATCAAATGTCCAATTCAACGGGTCATAAAGGAGAATATGTGACCGCAGTTTTTGAGAAACTGTCAAACATCTGTTCATTAGTAAATAAACAATCCATATTGGATGAGATAATGGAAATAACGTTCAATCGTATTAGACGGTCTTCAGAAAAATCAATTTTCGCTACCACCACCAATATTGTAAAATTTGGTTCAATTGCGGTACGTGTATTTACAAAAGTTATTAAAGAAAAAATTGATTCAATGGAACTAGTTCGAGATCAACCTATATTAAAGAAAATGCAAGCGATTTGTGGTTGTACTGGTAAAAGTCTAGAGATTCCAAATGAGTAAGTGATTAATCAAGTATATCTTTTAATTCTATTTATTATACATGTTTGATCAAACTTATCTTTTATTTATGTAGACTTTGTGAAACAATTTTATTGTTTATCATGTCACGTTTGCAAAAAATTTCTTTAAATACTTATTCAGAATTATCTTTGCTTGAGTCCGCTAAATTCTGGATTGTGATTCTACGAGCGACTGGCATCACCAGAAGGTTTTTTTCGCACCAACATGTGCAAGGAACTAGAACAACTGTTCTCGGGTTAACTGAAATGATTAAAAAGACCTCTATCAATATTCAAAATCTTCAGAATTTGCTTGACCTTGATGATGATAACCTTCATTATTATTTAAATTTTAATAATGGAAGAGAAGTCATAACCAAGGACATATTGGTTAAGATTCGTCAGGATTGTTGCTTTTATGAACAAAGATTGAAAAACCTTTACGATTTTTATAAAAGATTTTGTCCGCTACAAGAAACCAAGGATGTGCAAAATTATCTTGATGAATTAAAGGAACGAAGCAAGCAACTGAATAAAATCTCCTTAAAAGAATACTTAACAGAAGTCCATTGGAACCTTCATAAAGGAATTATATCAATAGCAGAGAGTACATATGAATTAAGCAAATCTCAAACATTTTATAATGTTTTTGAACAAAGGTTAAATGAAGTATCTAAAGAAAAATCTAATGATATTAATGTTGAATTTATAGCACAAACATTAATGAAAGATGTTTTGAAGGAATACGCTGCTAGGTGTAAGCGTTATGAAAAATGGGAAAATCTCAAATGTTCAGAGGAAATTCCATTTTGGTGTGATGTTTCTAATTTCGATGATGAGATTAAGTTAATGGAAAAGTATAGCAAGATTAGTATCAATAAAAACATACTGTTCATGGTGACGATAGGTCATCTATCCAGAAATAAGATTTGGAAAGAACGTACAGAAGATTTATCCAAGATTACTAAGATTTTCAAAGTCAAAGAAAATAGGCTTGACAACTTGTTAAATCACGGAAATTTGATCACATTTAGTAAGTCCGTTGAAACTATAAATCAAAAATTTTCCAAATTCAATGAGAATAGTTGGGATTTTATAAAAGAATTGTCACAATCTGAAGAATTCCTTGAATTATTAAAAGATCAAACGGATGATGATTTGAGAAATTTGATTAATGGCATTGATGAGCGCTCAAATGCAAAATTGGAGCAAACAATTTCTTCACTCATTCAAGTTAAGCAATTCTTGAGTCCGTTTATGAATGATCCAAATTTATCTATGGATACATTCTTAACAGGAATCAATGATATTAACCCTTCATTTGTAAGTAAATTGTCATTATGTAATAGTAATGTCATGACTTTCAAAAATATGTGGAGATCGTGAGTTTGCATGAGACTTACACTCACTCATTTTAATTAAATTTAATTTACGGATGAAATGATAAAATGTATTCATGCAGTAAACTTCAAATAATTCATAAATATCGAATAAATTTACTTTTTAAATTATTGAATAAAAATAAAAATTATGTGTATATTTGTTTAACTGATATAATATGATAGTTTTCTAGTAATACATAAAAAGTTCGAAAACTTGGTCGCAAATCATTAGAATCAACAATAAACGCTAACAATGTATATAATAATTCGGTCACTGGACATTGCGCTAATGGATACCTAATGCATGACATTTCTCTTCAACCTCTCAATTCCCAAATGCCAAAATATGGTTGCGGTACAAACCTTCGATTTCGATGGTTTTTGGCGGGTTTCGAAGACAGTTTTCGATGGTTTCTACAGGTTTCAATGACAAGTTTCGTTTCGATGCCTCCGGGGTTTCGCAACCTTACTACAATGCTTGCTTAAATAAGTCATTCTTGCAGATAAAGCTTCCTTTAAAATCCGTTTGTAGTTATAAAACTCAATTATATGAGAAGAATCTCGTTGTAGTAAGTTACAGCTGATGTTACTTCATTAACATGGAATCTTTCACATCAGGACGGTTTTGCTTACGGATAAATAGAATTTCAACAGTGCCAACTATAATGATTTCTTTTGGGACTGCAGAACTTAATAATTTACAATTAAATTAATGAGGCAGGCTTGACTTTACCCAAATAGGATTATTACAATAAACATAAAAAAATTTCAATTCAACAAGAATAGCTTGTTGGTCTTTTTTATAAATTTCACACAAGGAAAGTTCATTATAATTATTTGTAAGTGCTCCCTAAGATTTAAAATTTTTTCTTTATTTACTTATGTAAAGTTTGTAAGTTGTAGTATTGATTTTTTAAATATTTAGGGTTGATATCTATGGAGGAATCAGGTAAATTTGGTAAATTAGTTATTTGAGTATTATAGCACCAGAGTACTTTTAAAGAATTAGGTAAAGTTGGTAGACTAATAATTGGAGTATTGTAGCAACGAAGTTCTGTTAAGGAGTTTGGTAAACTTGGTAAGCTTGTTATTATAGTATTATGACAACTGAGTTCTTTTAAAGAGTTAGGTAAAGTTGGTAAGCGATTTATTTTAGTTTCATCGCAATAGAGTTTGGTCAAGGAGTTGGGTAATGTTGATAAGCTGGTTATTTTCGTATTATTGCATCGGAGAATTGTCAAGGAGTTAGGTAGAGTTGGTAAACTTGTTATTTGAGTGTTTCTACAATAAAGTTCTGTTAAGGAATTGGGTAAAATTGGTAAACTAGTTATTGGAATATTATCGCAATGAAGTTTTGTTAAGGAGTTAGGTAAAGTTGGTAAGAAAGTTATTTGAGTTTCATGACAATAAAGTATTGTTAAAAAGTTAGGTAAAGTTGGTAAAATATTTATGGGTGTATTGTTGCAACGGAGTTCTGTTAAAAAATTAGGTAAAGTTGGTAACCTATTTATTAGAGTATTCTGGCAATGGAGTTTTGTTAATGTGTTAGGTAAAGTTGGTAAGCTTGTCAACTGAGTTTCATGGCAATAAAGTATTGTTAAGAAGTTGGGTAAAGTTGGTAAACTAGTTATTTGAGAATTGTTACAATTGAGTTTTGTTAATTTTCGATATCTTTGTAATCCTCCTGAGGCGTTTAATATGTCATCCTTATTAATGTCCGTAATTGTTAATATTTTAGTAGAATCATCATAAATAACTTGAGCTTGTTTATTTTTGGTTAATTCCCTGAGATTATTTTCTAAATCAACAATCGTTAGTTGATAAACTTTAGCTTCTTCCCTAATATTTTTTTCTAAATCTGTAATAGTTTCTTGCTTGGCTTTGATTTCTTTTACTTTTTCTCTAATCGTTTCCTCGAAATCATTAATCTTTGCTTTGGCTTTGTCCTGTTTGATAATCTTTTCTTCTAAAACATTAATAATTTCTTGCATGGCTTTAATTTTTCTTTCTTGCACTTCTGCGGTTTCTTCATGTTCACTAATCGTTTTTTCTAAATCATTAATCCTGGCTTGGGTTAATTTTGCATGTTTTTTAAACTTCTCTTCTAAATCTATAATGGTTTCTTGCTTGTCTTTAACTTCTTGTTCTCGCTCTTTAATCTTTTCCTCTAAAAATTTAGTTTGAGAAATTACGTTTGTTAATTCCTCTCTTTTTATTGTTAAATCAAAATTTAAGTTTTGTACGTCGTTTTTTCGTTCATCTAATTCGACTAATATCTCAGTAAGTTTTCGTCCTGATAATAATTTTCTTAAATTATCTAAATCCTTACTACCTAATTCATTCATTAAAAAGGAGAGTAGCAATTGATTTTCATCGTTGGCTTTCTTTTTACTTAATTCTAATCCTTTAATCTTCTTTTCCAAGTCTTTCAAGGCTTTTTCTGAATTTTGTTTTAAAACCATGTTTTACGATAGATTCATTTTTAATTTTTTTTTTTTTTTTTTTTTTTTTTTTTTTTTTGAGAAATGGTAGTTTAATTTCAGCCCTTGACTATCATCCCTTTTTTTATTTTAAGTTTATTTATTACTTACTATTTTGGGAATTTTTTTTTAACATTTCTATTTAAAGTTAGTTTAAAATTTCTGCTACTGCGTTACAACGTTAGACCTTTTCCATTATTTAATGGCGCAGCATTATCGCGGAAACTTTTTTAAAAAGTTAAATAATTTTAATTTATACTTAAATACTTTTTTATTATTTATAAAATGAAATGTTATTAATATGGTCAATCCAAAGTCGTTGTTGCCTTATTTGAAAAATGAAATTTTTTTTTTTGTACTAGAAATTCAATTGCATATAGATTTAGAAATTGCATTGTTGTATGGTTTTAAGTCACAGGTTTGGGAGTTCAAATTTGATTTGATCTTAGTATTTATTGTATTTATTGAACGAATATAATTAATTATATGGGATGATTAACAGTGAGATATTTATGCATTATTAGTTTTTGATTAATTTTAGTCGAAAAACATATAATATATACAGTCAGACCTCTCTAAATGCACCCCTTCGGGACCGAGTAAAAGAGTGCATTTAGAGAGGGTGTGCATTAATGGAAAATATACATTTTAACAAATTTTTATAATATAATAACTATAATTTTTTTTTATTTATATGTATCGGAGATCTTACATTAGTATAATAAATAAAATTAGTAAGATCTACCTAAAAGGATTTTAATTTTCAAGTTGCATTAAATAATATATCTTTCTATTTATTAAAAAAATTTTCTAGAGTAGTTTGTTTATTAAACTTTTCTTTTTTTCTTTAATAAATTTTTCCAAAGTATTTATTGATTTAAAATATTCAATACTACCTTCTTGTTTAAGTAAAAATGCACAAATATTCTCCAAACTATTTGATACTGTATTTATACTAACAGGTTCAATTTCGACACTATCATCATCATCATCTAAAATTTCATCAGTTGTTTTTTAAATGTATCTACAAGTTCTATGATAATATCATTATCATCTAAAATTTCATAGATAATATTTTCATCAGAGATATTTAAAAATTCTTCTACCTTCATACTATCAGAAAAATTAAGAACTTCAAATTCTTCAGAAAGTTCTTTAGTTAGTAAATCATTTTCTTGAATATTTTCTAAGTTTTTAATATTTCCTTCAATACTTTCATTAATAGGAAGAATTTTAGTATGATACCAGCAATTACGAATTATTTTAGCTTTAACTTCATCCTAGGCTTGAATAGAATATTGAATTCCTTTTAAAATATCCATTTTCAAATTTTATACAGATTTACCAGTTTCAATTTGTTTCAACATCCATTGAATTTGATAAAAATTATAATTAATTTTAAATGATATAATAACTCTAACATCTATTGGTTGAAGTTTTGACGTTATATTTGAAAGTAAAAAAAAAACATCAACATGTGAAAAAACTAATTCTTCTATTTTGTGACATGAACAATTATCAAGAAATAATAATACACGCTGATTATTATATTTCTTAAACATTTGTAAGTTAAAATTTAAAGTCGCTCTTGAAAGGTAGTTAATAACATCCAAGCTTTAGAATTATGATGATAAATTATTGGCAGGTTTAAAATATTTATATTCTTAAAGCATCGTGATTTTATATTTTTCAACTACTAAGGGTTTTAATTTATGTGATCTATCTAAATTTGCATATAATGCAATAATAATATGTTCTTTATTTTTTTACGTCCAGAAAGACGTTTTGTAGTTAAGATTTGATCTGGTTCTAATCAGTAAAAAAGCTCAGTCTCATCTATATTATATATTTTTTCAAAAGAATAATTTGCACATTTTAGCATAATAATGGTAAATTTTTAATAATAGCAACATTGTTAGCAAAATCAGCTTTTTTATGAAGTTTCTCCTAATGAATTCTATTACAATCTTTGAATTTATAAGCAACTTAGCCTTTTCAATTAGCATATTATCACTTAATTTAGTTTGATGCTAGTAACATAGCACAAATTCTTAAGTGTTAGTTTAAGTTCTAGAATAGTAACAAACTGGTGTCTTTTTGTTTCTGAATTAGCAACTTTACTGGTAAGCCATTTATTACTACTTTGTAAAATTCTTATAATAGTAGATTCATGAATTTTAACTTCCCATTTTTCTTCAATCCAATATACATATTGAGCTTGAGTTCTTTTATTATTATGAGCATAAAGACAGAATTCATGTTTTTGAGTATCAGTAAGAATAATTTTCTTTGAAGATATATTGTATGAATATAAAGTTCATTAATTAAGAATGCTGTGTATTTATATTTGTAAATGGGTAAATTTTTATAATATACAAAAGTTTAATATCCGCAAGTATCAAGTATTGCAAATTTTATATGCTGTAAGTCTGCATGTTACAAATTTCATGTATTATAAGTTCTGTATATTACAAATTCTACATATCGCAAGTTTTGCAATGCTATATTTATTGCTAATATCAAAGAAGGTTTATTATAATAGATCTTCTAGTATTATAATTTAATTCAATTTATTTATAACTTTTTTTATTTTATTTTAGATCATTATATGTATAAATTTATAATATTGATAAAACATTAATATTTTTTTATATATCAAAATAATTCTTTATTTACAATACTGTATTTAAAATTTATTTATATTATATAAAAAACTAATTATTCTATATCTTTAGTGATTATGATAGTGCCAAAATTAATCATCCTAATTTTTCAGTATCTACATAAAGATAAGTAATAGTAATAATAGTAATTAGTTAATTTTTTTTAAAGAATATTTAATGTTAAAATTATTTTTTATAAGACTCACCTCTAAACAATCCAAGTCTTGAAGAATCTGGTAGTTATAAGAAGGTAAGTAATATAATATTAGTTTTTTTGATTGATTAAAAAAAAATAAAAACATTAAAATATTTTTTTTCATAGCATTCACCTTTGAATGATCCAATATTTGAGAATCTGATAGCTATAAGAAAGTAAGTAATTTAATGTTAGTTTTATTAATTGATTAAAAAAAATAAGAAAATATTAAAATATTTTTTTTATAGCACTCAACTTCGAACGATCTAATGTTTGAAAATCTGGTAACTACAAGAAGGTAAGTAATTTAATATTAGATTTTTTAATTGATTAAAAAATAAAAAAATATTAAAATATTTTTTCATAGCATTCACCTTTGAATAATTTAATACTTGAGAATCCAGTAGCTACAAGAAGATAACTAATTAATTATTAGTATAATTGAATGATTAAAAAAAATTAATATTAAAAATTACTTTTCATAGACTTACCTTCAAATGATCCATATCTTGAAAAATCTAGTAGCTACAAGAAGGTAAGTAATTTAATTATTTATTTGATTGATTAAAAAAAAATATAAAAATATAAAAAATATCATAGAACTTACCTCTGAACGATCAATACTTAAAGAATTAAGTAACTACAAAAGATAAGTAATTTTAGTTGTTAGTTATATTGACTAATTTAAAAAATAAATACTAAAAATTTTTTTTTTAACATGAATCACCTCTGAATGATCTAATGGTTGAAGAAATCTAGGATTATTAAGTCATGCAAGATTATAATGATGCTAAAGAATCAAGACCAAAAAAAAGCTGCAATGTATATTTTTTTTTAATTGCTAAATAATCTTTTAAAGAGGTTTATTATTATTCTGTTTTTTTTTTTTTTTTTTTAACTGTTCAGTATTGATGATATATATACTTCATATTATATTTCAGATTAATAAAAATATTGAAATATTTAGTCTTTTAGTAAAGTTGTGGTTTATGTTTAAGGAATTTTTGTGATCTTTTTAGAAAGCCAACCTTGTCATATACCTTAAACAAATTTGTTCACAAGAGCTAATGAGAATTGTCAAGAAAAGCTCACTTTAAAATATTTCTTCATTAGATAAAATGAATCTAAACCTTAATTCACCTTATGATATCTATTATTTAGTTCTTTAACAAACAAATAAGAATTTGAACTATCAATAATTAAAAATGCCAATGCGTGTCTTTTAGGTTGATGCCAAAGTTTTTTTTTCACGTCTTGCATTTAACATTATTATTTTAACAGAATCCTATTATCTCCTTTCTATCGACACTTACTTGATCTTATATCACAAATTGTGCAATAACTAATATTTAGCAAATATATTTAATATTTTACTATTATTAAACTAATTAATAAATAAAAAAAAACATTAAATTTTTAATGGGTTTATTATTTTATAAAATAGTTATGTGACATGCATTTAGTGATCAAATTGTCATATCAAAGAATCGAAAAATTTCTTATATGTGCAGAATTTGAAAGGTGTATTTAGCCTCTAAGTCCTAAGCTTGAGATTAGAATATTGTGTGCATTTAAAGAGTGTGTGCATTTATAGAGAGTGCATTTAGAGAGGTCTGACTGTATATATATTTAAAATAAATCCTTTATTTGATAAACATAAAATGCATATATTTAAATACTTATTTGATTTTTCAGATGTTCTAATGCTTTTTCCTTTGATTTGTTAATTTCTTTTTAAAGTAAATATTATGTTAATTATTAGCAATCAATTAGTTTGATTGATGAAGAAAGAAGTAACAGAAGAAAAGTGAGATTCGCACTTCATAATACTAGTATCTTATTTCAAATTTAAGATAAGAACTTCATTGTTTTTTATAATCATTATAGTACAGTTTACTATCCTACTACACGACTTCTATTATATAGAAATTTCATATGATATTTAGAATAAAAATTAAATAAAATAAAAAATAAATTGTAACAGATATTTGTTATTGCAAAGAATATTCAGGATCTAGTGAACTTTTTTTGTTAACTTGAAAGATTGCAAATTTCTTATGACAGTATCATATTCATTGAAGACATTTACTATGCATATAATGCTAATAAGGTCTTCGTCATCA